ACTGACGAAGACAATGTAGTGGAGACGTGCGAGCCGGAAAGGTTGGCAGAATTTTGATTTGACGGATGTCCTGAATAATCGGAGTTCTCTTTGACTGGCTCCGCCTGTAAATTTTTGCCTATTGTTTTGGAACCACCGTCCGATGAATTTGAACTGGTCGCACTAGGTGTATTTGTTTCGGATTTTCCCATTCCACTGGATGGAGTAATTGAATTCGATTGGCTGGTTGTTTTCTTTTTCGGTATTTTGTACCCTTTGATGAGTCCCACTGAAGTTCCGCTAGTGTTACCTGTGACACCAACACCGGAGTTGGATATTGCCGAAACCTGGGACCCCATTGAGTACGAGGGCATGGCGGATGATTTGGAACCGGAGTTAGACGTGTTTCCGGATCCAGCACGATTAGTTGTGGGATTCATTGTCCCGGAAACGGACGATGAACTAGAGGACTTGGCACTGTGTTTTAGTGTGACCATATTGATAGAGCCCGAATCAGACGTGACTGAAGATAAAGAGAGCATATCGTCCGACTCAGACAAGGAACTACCAGATAGGTTGAGTTGTGAACTCATGGCATGTTTGTTGCCATCACCGTGCTTCCGTCGTTTTATTTCCACCGAATCGATATGAGGTAGAGGAGTTCCAGTGGAAGATAAGTGTTGGCGTCGAATGCCACCACTGTCGTCTCCAGGTGTGGACAGAGGAGAGGAGGTAACTTTTTTTCTACTCGGAATCGTTGTCCCACTCAGCCCCGGTACAGCCATAGACGAAGCAGAAGGACCACCACGCTCTGGGCCACCAGACGAGGTGGCTTGTATGGGTTTGCTTCGGATTCTTTCGACACTATTCTCCCGTGAACGATTTGCTTTGCTCAGTTTTAACGAGTCCATATTCGTGGATGAGGAGTCCCCGGTGTGGATCGAACCGCCCATGCCTGTGGCTGATGCGGATGGGATACGCTCGGTCATCATGTGTGCCATACGTCGTTTGCGTTCCTTTTTCACAATCGAGTTCGCGTGACTAAGAGCCGTATTTGGTTTAGACAATTTCACCCCTGTCAAGGATGATCCCGAATGAATGGAACTCGTGGATGTGGGAGGCTGTAACATTTGCAGCATGTAGGAAGACGGTTTCCCGTCAACCGAAGGACGTTTGTGTTTTTTTAGACCTGAAACTCCAGACGCTCCACTAGAATGTTTGGATTTGATATCTGGTGAGTGAGTAGAGTGAACCACTTCGGCGGAACTTGTAGTTTTTGTGAACGCATTGTTTGGTTGTTGGGGTGGCAGCGTTTTAATGGTAACCTTCAAACTGGTTTTCCGTTCCACAGTTCGCTCTGCGACGGGGCCGATTGACGTAGTGCTCATTGCGGAGGACGGACCGAGGTTTGGTGGGTGAATCGAAACGGTATTGGATGATGCGGTTTGACCAGACACATATGTGGACGACGGAGTGGTCAACTTATTGATGTTCGCAGTAGAACCAGACTGGTAGGCGGTTGATGACATTGAATTGTTTTGCGGTAAACTAGGTATATCAAACGACGAATTAGGATTGTCATCAAAATCGTACACAGATTTGCCTGAGGCCGTGGCGTTTGCACCCGAGTGACCGCTAGTGGAAGGTATTGTAGCAGAGGAGGAAGTCATTGAAAAATTACCGGCACTTCCACCAGAGCTACCGCCGCAAAATGTACTACGATGAAGAGAACCGTGTGGAACCGTAGCGGCGTCTATACGCGAATGTTTCACGGGAACCGTGCTACTGGCGGATGCCGGAGCACAAAGGACGCCAGCACCTGGCACAGTATTCGCGCTTGAACTAGATTTGAATGTTGGAGTGACAGTTGCATTTTCCGCGCCAGCTCGTCGTCTCTTACGTGTCTTTTTCAACATGATGGCTGTGGTGGAAACCGTTGTATCAGAAGCACCGGGGAGATTGTATGCATCTGTTGTTGATCGTGGTTTGGCTGCTGTCGAACTGGTCATCAAGCTCCCAGTGCTACGTGGAGAGTGAAGTCCCACTGGTTTAGGTTGTTGAACCACACCCGGAAGCATATTCGGCCCACCGGAAAGCGGTGTCGCTGTGGAGCCGGAGAGTTTCCCTGGTCCTAGAGGAGAGAGTTTGTCTTGAGGCGATGAAATAAACCGACTTGAGCCAGTCGTGCCGGGCAACGCATAGGGATCCCTGGTCAAATCCGAGTAGCTGGATAACCCGGGAGGGGGTTGGGTAAGCGGAGGAGCCACACGAGATGATGGTCCGCAATGGGCAGCTTGTGATAGCGATGGTGCGGCAGGAGGCATAGGGTCCTCATTCAACAAATTTACAAGCATCGAGCCACTGCCAGATGTCTTGGAGTTCGTGTTAGCTGGAAAATACGAAGAAAGAAAGATTACAAAAGAGACTTGATGAAATGAGGGTCCATCAATTACTTAAATCTTATGAATTTTAGATGACCGTAGAATAGTTCAAATGTGCTGGTGAAACAGAAACAAGAACAAGTACAGATTGTACAAACCCGATTAGGGATAACCACAGCCGCTTTCAAGCGTGTGATGTAACAAAGC